GTAATAATCTTAGCGAGAGCGAAGCGGCACGAGGCACAATGAACGGCAGTCACAAAGACTGGAAAATGGCGGGCGCTCCGCTCCTTATATAATGCTAGGGGGGAGGGGAAGCGGAGTTCCCGCCAAAAACCGTTAGCTGTTAATCTTCCGGCCAAAGGCACTGCGCAGGCGCAGAACCCATATGTGTGATGCACAGAGGCCACGACGAAGAATGTTGGTTATGTTGTCTGAACCCAGCAGCACTAGCAACCCATGACTTCTTAACCATTTGCTACTGGGATGTGAAGTGTGGGTTGCTGACCATGACTTATTTTGGCTGGGTTCAGGCAACACAATAATCTATGCTTCAACAACATCCTATGGTTTAACCCTTGAGTGTGGGTTATCATGCTGTCTGAACCCATTAATTGTGTTGAAGAATACCCTGGATCTCCAGAAAGGATTAGAAATCATCCAGATGATACAAAAAAGAAAGAGGAGTTAATAATTGTCAGAGCAAAATGTAAAACCAATAAGGCCACACCCTATGTATGTTTAGACAGAAAAACATTCTACAATGTCTGATATGTGTTAGGCACCATAGGGTTTTGCCCTAAAAGGCCTACTGGGTGTGAGATTTACACATTAATGGATGACCGACTGTTCTATAGAATTGTGTCAAAGATGAACATAAGGAATTTGGGAAAACAGGAGGGAAGAACTCTAGTCAAGAGAAAGGATGCCCAACCATGAGCCTTGCTGTACATACATGCAGGAAAGATGAGCTCCCGTTCGTTAGATTAAAAGCTCTCTTAAAAGTTGTAAGCTGAAGGCCTCTGCTTCTCCACTGAGAAACAATAAGCAAAAGGATCCTTATGCTCACTGTGGAAAAGGCATCACTATCATTCCACAAGGCAAAACATTTCTCGCCTCTTAGAGACTCGGCAGACTTCTTTTAGGACCCTTTACAGCCCGTTGGACAATGATGATGAAGACTCTTTCAGGTGTCAGATCCGGGACAGTTATTCTCCCCCACCCCACACACACTGACCCCTTCCCTGATTTTTCTGAGGGGTATCCTGAGACTCCGGCACCATCCTTGCCTCATCAACAGCACCTCCAGCGCCTAACACCGGCAAAAAGCGCCTCACGTGGGGCCACCCCAAGCCGGCACGGCGAACCCGCCCCCCGCCTATTTCTCTCCCTTGTCCCCTCCCAGCTTGTCGAAGCGTCTCCTCACTTGTAGGTGAGCCCGTCTCCGCAGCTGAGCATCTGCTGTGCCGTAAGCCCGTCGTCGGGCACGTAACCGGTGCCGCCGCTGATCAGGTAATCCGCCATGGCCGCGCGCAAGTGTGCGCGTGCGCTCCACCGTGATCCCGCCTCGCCCTTCGCCTCACGGGCCTGCTCGCCTCCCTCGACCGAGAGAGCTCGCGCACCGACCACGCGCTCCCCGCCGCCCCTCGCATCAAAGAGACTCAAGTGCCGCTGCGTCCCGACCAAAGACCAGAGAGCGCGAGGGAAGCTCCGCCCCCTAGCAGGACGCAAGCGGCCCCATGAGGCTGCAGTAAGAACTCTTTTCTTTCAGGCGCTCTTGGTCGGCATAACCGAGCCGTCACTGGTACGTCATTACGGGGGCCGAGCGGGCTCCTGACAAGCTAAGCGCGAGAGCAGCCTGTGCATTCTGACCGTGCCAGCCGTCCTTCTGTTTCCATCTGCCATACTGATGAACCGAGGGTGTTGTGAAGTTCTTTGCCCCATTCATCTTGTTTCTTCGGGATCATATGTTTAGAATGCGTCTCCTCCTGCCTACAATTTTACTTAGCAACACCTCATCCTATTCACTTTTTGAGCGTCAAATCCTTTTTCGAACGGCTCTTCTTACGGCAGTGTCCCGTACGCGAAGGATACGGAAGTACCCAAGAGACAAAGGGACGGAAACATTTCAGGAGCATGCAGGAAAGTATTTTTCACTATTACAAAGCCCGATACCCCAAAACCGGCAAGGTCCGAAGGGCATGATGTGTACGGGTGCACTGTTTTATGCTGGCAGGCGGCGATGGCGCTAAAGCGAAGTCGCCAGTGCCCAGCATTTGGTTGACTTACTTCACACGGACCCCCATGAAAGAACTGTGCCCTCTGATATTGGATCAGAGAAGAGGAAACAGATAGTCTCGTGGTACTTAAAAGACTGTTAACAAAAGCTTTATTCTTTAAAATGCAGGAGACAAATTACTTTGGTTACGTTTCCAAGCCTACCCCTCCGATCCAGCAGAGGGCTTCGGCGACAAGTAGCCCTCTTCAAACTATGATAGTACGCGTTTTGCACTATCATAGGCTTCTCTCAAAGAGAGGGTGGCACCCTTTTTTATCGTCACGTCCACCGCTTGAAATAATCTGCACTCAACCATAAACTTCGTATTTAATGGTTTTGAAAATATTCCCTTTTTTTGTCAGACCGGCTTCAGTTCACCAGGGCAGCTTAAATAAATCTGCAAGATAGGTATCTGTCTAAAGATAGCTATCTCCCTCCAGAACTACGGTATATTCAGCACAAACCTCCTCTCATTGTATTAGTCCCAATGCCATGCTAGTAACTCGAACACCTTTATCTCAAGGTGTGGTCTCCATAATGCATAAGGTTCCATTAATTTTTATTTTTTGAAAGGGGCCTAGCCCTTATGGTGTTGCTTAACCCCCACCCTCCTACAGTTCTAGTAGTTGTCCAAAACACGACCTCTTCCAATTCTTCCCACAGACAAGTTAGAAAGGGGCATACTCAAAGAATACAAATGCAAGGAACTTCCCTGTTCCTATGAATGATTGCCATTTATTTTTAAATTTTGGAGGACAGGAAAAACACCTCAGAATACAATTTCCTTTGAATAAAATGTGTTTGCAAACTGAGCTAAAACCAACATATTTCTGAGCACAGTGCCTTTGGATAAATGTAACATACCTCTAAACCTTAACAGCCTAAAAGTGCTATAATTTGGCTTTAACAAATATTATTCTACTTCCAAATAAAAACACCGAGCACATAATGTTCTTGTGATTTTACTTCCTGCTGTGCTGGCAAGGGGCCACAAGAATAACATTCTGCAGATACCAGTAGTGCTCCAGTTGCAACCTGTTTCTAAAATCTGATTTGGTTGAGCCAGTAGCAAGGCCATTTAGCCTCAATTTCTTGCTATTGCCTTTTGTTTCCACTTCCTGCAAATTTACTCAGACTGCAAGGATAACTTATTTTTGTCCAGCTGAAGGTAATTTCATGGTTCAGCTGCCCCAAAACATCACACAGCTGTACATGTCCCCCCCCCATTTCAGAAGTATTTTCAGGACTGTATAGTATGAAGTAGGCTCTCAGAATTCTGATGAGAAAATAACAATAGTAGTACAGATTGAGAAGTCACTGCTACAGTGCAATATGTAAAAGCAACATGCATTTGTTAGCATTTAAATAACCTATATTTTACATCTCAAATTGTGAAATGTAAGCAACCTGGCATATGCCTGCCTAAATTGCCAGGTGTTACAACAAGTTTGGGGAAGCATGAGAATGGGTAGAACTTAGATATTAGCTCCATCCTTTTAAACTCAGGGTGGGACAAAGTGGTATGACTGCTTAGTGTATTTATGAGGTGTGCATGCTCATGTACAATGCCTGCAGAATTTTCCCAGGGAAAAACATTGACTGCTTGGAGATGAGGTTGTGTTTCCCTCCCTGAGTTAAGAAAGCAAACTCTTTTCCTAATGACCAGCCTTCTCCTTTCCAAAAATGGCTATGCTATGGTTTCCTGACAAATTGTTTTTTCAGGTTGAAAAGAAAATGTATTTGCTTTATGTGCTTCTGTTAGGCAAGTCTAGATAGCTGGGTGATTTCCGTTTCATGTTTCAAATGTTTCATGTACAGAACAGGTGGCTAAGCAGACATTCCTAACAGCCGTTTTAGCTGCCCTCTGCAGCAATCTATGTGTAACTGCAGTCTTAATTTATACACACACACTAGATCAGAAAATTTGGGAGATTTTTCTGGCAGCAGGTATAGAATTAGAGGCCTTCATTTCAAGCCCAATCTTCAGTCACATTCTACCACCTTCAACAAGAAGAAAAGATCATAATTAAATCAGTGTTTGAGTTAGAACCTGAAGCTGGTATAACTTTTCTAATTGGTCAAGAGCTGATAGAATACTAAAACTTTCACTAGAATAGTCAGCAAAATACCAAGATCTAATACCAAGTTAGAGAAACAAAATTTAGTTTATGTATGATCCTGTCACTATTACTTGGCTCTGGTCCAGAAGAACCATAGATTTTAGTCACTGAAACAGGAATCTGTGCTAACAAAGGAATCTGTGTTCATCAGCTGCTCAGGTGAACACTGATACATCAGTGAAGGCTGTGTGAGATTGGCATCCTCCTCCACAGGCTAAATACAAATGTAGAATAAACTAAAGAGTGGGTTGCATGATTGTATGTTCCCCACTTCTCCCATTTTTCCAAGTTCAGGATTATATGGAACTGTGGCAACTGAAATAAATCTGTGGGAATGCTCCTAGAAACGTACTGCAAGCCCAGGATTAAAGTTAGTTCTCAGTGGTCACACATAATGACAATCCCACAGAGAAAGGGGGTCAGGGCCAGAGGAATAGTAGCTCCCTAAATGCAAGTCTCCTTTGTATCTCTGCAACAGGTCTCTGTTTTTCAGGAGGGTGAATGCCTGAAAAGGAATATTCTTGGCCTCAATACTTGTCACCCCCTATCTCAAGCTTATTGGATTCAAAATTACTCTCTCCACAAGTTATTATGAAAGTCAGAAGCAAGCATGCAGCTACACCATTTCCAATATGGGCTCCACTGAAATGAAACTAAGAAAATATTTTTGTTTATGTGTGCCTTATTCCAATAGACCAGCAAAAAATTTCTATGGAAATCGGCTGGTGTCCCACTATCCCCAAGTGTCACAAATTTTTAATGAAGACTTCTCATTTGCTCCCCCCAAATAAAGACACACTGTTCAATAGCATGTTGAAAAGACGTGCTCGTCATTCTTAATAAACAACTAGCGTAAGAATACATAAGAGAAACAGGGCGGTATCTTTATATGATACACAAGTGTATGTTACAAGAATTTCATCAGGCACAGGAGCCTCAAGGTTTTAAGGCCTCAACATCAGGCCAAAAAGAAAAAACAAACAAAACAAACAAAACAAAACAAGAGAGCGAGAGAGAGAGAGAGAGAAATAGAGAGAAGTGTGGTAGTTTGTACTTAACATCTAAAAATGCCATTTTTTACGGTCTTATAAGAAACTGATTTTCTTCTTTTTCTTCTAAATCATAATTGCAGGACACTCTCCTCTCCCTTCCAGGACATGTCAGTGTCTGGGGACAAGGAAACTGCAAACTGCCTCTTTAGGTCAGGCAATATATCCACCATTTTCTGCTCTTTCCAAGAGCGTGAACTCCAAAGTAGAGGCCAGCCAGGCCAAGTCCCTCAATTAAATTTGTTTTTTCACATCATAAAAAATCCCAAAGTCAACCTACAGCACCTCACAGCTCCCAAAGAAAGAAGGCAGCCCCCAAAGCCTCCAGAAGGCTGATGTAGTTGGGTCAGATACACAATGGGGAGGGTCTCGTTTTAAACAGAAGAAGCCTAAAAGGGCTTCATAACTACACCAATTAAAAAAAAACTTAGGCATCTCCTTTAAGTGTAAAAGGCTGTACAATTGATCCTGGCATTATGGCCTCCCCTCCTACCCTGCCCCCCCTCATCCTTTATCTGAGCTGAAAGGAATGCCTTAGTGCATGGTGGTGACATTTGCCACAGCAATAGCTTCCTGAATCTCTCGTATCACCAGAATCCGGGTGAGCATCTGTTCCATTTGCTCTCGACTGATTGGCTGGATGGAATACCAGATAGGGCTGTTGGGAGCCACCACTGGTTCCGGTGTCAAATAGAATGTGTCGTTCCGGCCTTTCACACTCTGGGGGCTGTTGCAAAAAAGACAGACAAAGACTGTTAAGCAATTACGCTGGTAGCATATCTTTGAAAAAGTTGTTACTCCTATCCTAGTAAAGAGGACTGTGCTTATTCTGTACCTCCATAGGAGTCATGTCTGTGCTGAATATGGCATGGAAACTGATGTCCCAAAAGTTCCAAATTGCATTTTACAACAGTTTGTGCTGTTTGCATCTGATAGGGACTAAAAATGCAAAATGTATGTTGACAGGGCTTCCAGAAGGAATAATGCCTCAGCCCACCACATCTCCTCTAACTATACATCCTTCTTCTTTCCTCACTTTTACAACTCCAGCTTCTGACAATGTACTTCAAAATATTCAAAAAGGAGACTTATGGGTATAGAGGACAATAGGGTATGTTTGAAGCTATTAATGTGGATAGTTTATTCTTTACAGATCACACCATAGTTTAGTACTGCCATAACCTGAACATTTCAGAGGGGTTTGAAAATGAATAGCAAGTCTAAAAAGTGTTTTTTAAAAACCCAAACCCTACTACAGTTCACAGTTCAAGATGTTATGCAGTTTGTGCATCTTTTCCCAATAAAGACAGTTCTACAGACCTCTGACGAGGGAAGGGGAGAGTTCCAGCGTACTGGAACTCACTGAACCCTTGGGCTGCTATAAAACAGTATCAGAGCTGTCAACTGCACAACATGAATGAATGAATGAATGGCCACACTGTATAACAATGATGTTTCCAGGAAAATGCACTGTGTCAAAAACAAATCATATTTTTTTGTGCAGCACAGCATTTAAAAAAGCAAACAAAAGCATGTGCTGGCTCAATATACTTGCCAGTCTGAATGTTATATATTTTTGACACTAATATAAGATGTAGGGTACAGTGGGATGCAGGAAGAGTGGAAACCTGAAAAAAAGGAGCCATGTAGCACACAGAAGTCCCATCTCCTAACCAATGGAATCTTCCACAAGTCTTCCACATCTTCAGAGTGTCTCAAGTATAAGGTCTCATTTAAAAAGTGCATCTCTGAAATTCAGGAACTCAGAATGTATACAGAATCAGAGATGAACACTTTCATATTGCTACAGAAGTGCTGAGTTTGCATTTTATCTTACACATCATCATTTGTCTTCTAATAGCTATTCCATGTATTTATTTTCTATCCATGCAAATTATCAGACACTAATGTGGAACAACATAATGCATGAACAGGAATTTTTGTTTTCCAGCCACCTTGTGCTACCAGACTTCAGTACAATGATGGGGCTTTCTCCCTCTGCCACACCAGCTGCAGTCCTCTATACCACCTGAAAATCTGCTCAGAGGGTTGGTTCCTTTGACAAAACTTCTTTCACCAGCAGAAATAAGCATTTAATCCAACCCATATGTGATGCTCGTAAAAGGTCTCTTAATCACTGGGATCATATGTTACACATGAATATGTCCCCCAGGATAGAAGAGAACTAGCATGGATGAAGTTCTCATTTTGTGCTTTTCACTTTTTAAAATTTATTTACTGCCCTGGGAATATACTGAAGGGTAGCAAAAACATGTTTTGTATATGTGATTATGCAATTTCATACAAGAGGGAAAAGTCTCCAGTACATAAACTGAAAGGTGTGTATCCTTAGATTGCAGCAATGTCTCCTTTTCAAAGGACCGCCCCCATTCTCATTTGGTGCGTGCACACATACACAAGATAAGCACAGTTTGGGAAAAAAGCAACACTGGGAAGGAGATGACAGAAGCAAGAAGGGGGATGCTTGTGAGTGAAAGTAGTACAGTTCGGGAAACATGCAGGGTGAAGGCACTTGGGGAAGCAACTGCTATTTGCAAAAACAAAAATCCTGCTAAGTGACAGTTTCAATTACAAGACAGCTTTCTGTAGTGCGCTAAAGGACTCCATTATGATGGTTGTTAAGATTCAGTAATATTTTTGTCCTTTTTGTACAAGGAAAGAACATGAAGAGAAGCTTATAATGAGATGCATATTAAACCACTCTGAAAGGCAACACACTTGCATGCACAACGCTGAAATTATAGCCAATTATCCTCTGTGGCTCTTGATGCCAAGACAAGTACACTCACCATTTGAAGAGGTAGAAGTCATAGAGCTTTATAGGACACCTTAAGGGGTTCTCAGGGTTCTCTGTCTGCTCTGCATACATGTCATCTGTAACTGCAAATCAACCCCAACAAAACAGAGCCATGAAATATTTTGCAGAAAAGCTCATTACTGTACAAAGTTAAGTCTTCTGGTCTTCTTGGTGCAGATGGACTGCTGATACATTCCCACAAAATATACATTCCCTGCATCTGTGTTATATTTTGATAGTTCTGCTCACCAGGCAAATGCAAGTATTTTCAATTTTCTGTCCTGTTCTTAGTAAATAGGAGTCCTATTTAGTAAAAATCAAAATGAATTCATGAACAGTTGAAGGCCAAAGTTTCTTTACTGAAATGCTCAGTATTTGCAAAAAGGAAATGCAAATGGGATTTTTAAAAGGACATCTAATTGAACAGAACCATGTCTTCACTTTAAAAACTGCAATGCCTAAGATCAGAACTGAGTGAACATAAAAAGCAAGAAAGCAGGTAAAACCTCAATCATACAACACACTTTATGCTTAACAGGTACTGCTTGAGATATTTAAATCCCATTTTCATGCACGTCAGTGGTTTTCCTGACATTACTAGTGCCTGTACCACTATGGTCAGGCTATCCCTATACAGGAGAGGCCAGAAGCTAGAAAGTCAGCTGAAGCTGGGAGAAGGCACTCCAAAGCTGCTATGGCCACATTGGGCTCCAGCAACAATGGATCTAGGAGTATCCCTACACTAAGAACCCAATCTTTCAAAAGAGGCGCAACCCCATCCAAAACAGGCAACTAATTTATCTCAAAGACCTGGGGACCTCTCACCCACAGGGCTTCAAACTTACCAGGACTCAGCTTCATGCCTGATTTGGTAAATGCCTGATCTGTTTTAATATGGCAAGACTCAAGAATATGCCCTGCCCGCCATTGTCCAGCCTACCAGATTTCAGATATTATAAAACTCATTTTATTCTTCCATTAATTTTACAACTTCTGAACAATACTACAAAATGATATAGTGAACAGCACTGCAAGATTAATATTAGTGGCCATACAAGCAAGCATAAGTTTACCTTTCTGGCCTGCCTGGTGTATGCCAAGTGCCTTCAGATACCGGATGCTTGTACTTTTATCCTTGGGATTGGAAGGGTTCTTCTTGGTCTGCCGCAAGACCTTTGAGAAGGCCAGCTTCATATGCTGGTCTACTGTTTTCAACAGGAAGTATCTGAGCAGCAAGTGGGTGTAGAGACAGGGTGAAACACAGAACTTATAAAAATGCACATTAAAATCTTAAGAACTTTCCCCAATATTAATAGAAAAATTCCACATATGATGGTATTTATGTCACCATAACGGAGATGAACATTTTAAGGAGCTATTTAAAATAATTTTGCAAGAGCTTTCAGGAAAAAAAGCCTATTTTGGACAGGTACTATGTTAACAAAGGTGTTTAGACAAATTCATAAAGCATTGGTCTGTCAACTGCTCTTAGCCTCAATTGATAAATGGAATTTCTGAGACCGTTCACCCCAGTGACCATTATGACGCCTGACAGGACATATAGTTAGGGTTAGGGGTATGCTACTTCTGGAAGTAGAAGGCTGGGCTACAGCAGCAAGCATTTCTATCATGCAAAGTTCTTTACATATACCGTCATATCCTTCTTTGTGACAGCTGTCTAAAGCAAATCAGTATTATACCAGTACTGCACACGTGAGGGCTAAGGCCAAGCAAGGAAGACTGACTTGCTACGACCATCTAGGAAACTCATGGAAGAAGTCAAGAACTGGGGACTTGCTGGTTCAGTTGCAGTAACTATACCACACTAGCTGTAGATGCGTTTTGTTCTGATCCATCACTGTCATTCTTTGTGTGCACTATATGGGTACAGATTAATTCAAGTTCACTAGAGAAAAGGACTGCACTATTTTTTTAAATAATTGCAATAGTTTTGTTGAGGAAGTTTCTCTATCAGTACATACTTTGTGTTAAAAAACATGAGAGTAGTCAGCAAGGTGGCAGGGGAGTGAGCTCCCAGCTGCTTGCACTCCCACAACATCTCTTCTGTCACATGGCTGGGGAGTACATAGCCTGTGAATATTAGAAGACAGTGTCAACAAAAGTATGGAAACCAAACTGCATTTCCAGCCAACCACCCCAGTTTCCTACAAGAGAGGATTTATAGATTCAATTTCTCAGCTTCACAGCAGTCTCACTAATGATATAGTTGTTTCTATTTAAAATATTAGTTTCAGTTTATGACATCAAGTCTAGCCAAGCACTCAGTTAAAGCACTTACTAAATAATTTGCAATTATGCAGTTCTATTTTTAAACTCCAAGTGCTTCACATTCTCTCATTGTAATGGAAGAATCTATTACCAAGAGGAGTGACCCGGGGCTGCACATCCTTGAGAACTTCATGTAACCACTCAGTGAACCGTATGTAATAGAGATCAGAGAAAATGTCATCAACTCGCCCATTTTCAAATAGGTACTGTAAGAAAAAACACAGGTGAAACCTTCTCTAATGATATTTACTCTTACACATGAGAATAAAGAAATCAGTCAAGCTATCCATGCATTTTTAAGGCACATTTGAAATGTGAGGTGTAGACACTTCTCAGTCTCTGATGACAACATAGATTGAGAAGACTCCGAAAGGGTAGAAGAATGACTGCCATCTGCGAAATTTGTTTCCCCACTTAGGTGCGCATATATGCTCATGCTCTCATGCATGCTCTCCCTCTCCATATGTATATAGAGAATATCACAACAGAAATGTACCATCATCATCATCTTGTCTGTTATCTTCCCTGAAAGTTAAGCTGACAGGGTGTGCTATACATGTCCACGATAAATAAAAACACAATCAGCATTCCTAATTTAGATTCAAGTCACTACTTATCTAGATCTTTCTTTCTCTGCAGGATATAAAAGTATGTCTGCTTAGCTCCCCTCAGGAATTCAGGGAAGCTAACTGCAGGACATGCAGCCTTCTAAGAAAGCTCAATGGGAAGTTGTGTGTGATACAGTAAGCCACACAGCATTGAAAGCTTCATAAGAATAGCTTATAAGCCACCAGACATGAATGGGCACATTGGGGTAGGGTGCCCCTTCCTTCTTCTCTTTGGCCTCCTGCAGGGGACACCATGGGAGCACTGAGGTTCTGTACCCCACTTCTCAGCAGCAGTAAAAACAATCTTTGCCCTGCACTGCTACACTAGTCACAAGAACTGGCACCAACAAGTCAACCAGGAACCTCCCTGTTGCCTCAAAATGGCAAGCTCACTCTACCAGCACTGACAGTTGTACCACTCCATTGCACATGGTAGCTCTGCCCAAGTGCTGCTTAGATACTTTGGGAATGGCTATCAGCAACACCCTTCCAGAAGTTGTTTGGACAGAAAGGCAAGGATTTCTTACTGCTCTTGCCAAATGTTCTGTAGCTGTTTGGGTTACTGTAAGAGTTGTCATATTGTCTGGGTTCATATGACACAGTAACCTTAAGGGTGTCTACCAAACCCTAACCCTGTCAGGGTTACTTATAATACCAGTTTCTAGACTTACAATCCATCCTGAATAAAGTTATAGTGGGTAAGCTTTTTGTGTTGCATGAATCCAGTCAGTATTAGCTCAAGCTCTACAATTTTACCTACCAAGTTTTCCCATAATGACCCACATTCACATTTAATTGAACAGTCTGGAAAGTTAGGGCAAAGGTTGGCCAAACTTTGATTAAAAGGAATATCATTTATACAGCTAATTCTCAGAATTTAATTTATAGCTATTAAGGCTGGTTCATTTCTAACAGACAAGTAGAATTGAGTACATTTAGTGTATGGTATTCTAGATGTCAGAACAACCTTAAGTCCTTTTCATGCAATAAAGAAAGCTACATAGCTCAGCACAGAAAGCAAATCTCTGCCTCTCTCAGCCATAACATATGCTTGGCTCTCCATCTGAACATCACCTGAAGCAAGAGCTTCCATGGTGCCATACCTTCTGAATACACAGGAAGATGTAATACAGAACATCTGGATCATAGGGCTCGCCTTCACTGTTGCGAGCTTCACGAGTCATTAAGCACAGTCCATAATTCAACTCTGCTACAGCTGAGGATATCAGATCTTCCTGGAATCTCAACAGCTGACGTCCTGCAAATGATGGCACAGATGGTCACTAATAGGCATTCTTCAGCAGGCTAGTTTTTTTCTAGATATTATCAAGCTTCCCACTCTCATCTTTGCTATTATAAACTTAGCCTACCACTTCCAAAGGCTTTCTCCCAACCCAATACCTAGTATCATCATCATCTGTCATATTATGAAATCCTCAAACTGGTTTGAGAAGATGTTTAAAAACAATGTTAGGTAAAAAAGGTAAATAATAAGTTCTCCAAAATAATATTTAAGAGAAATATTTTAACATATCAAAATATTAAACATGCTAGATATAATCATGTTAACCCAGCAATTAATATCTAAATTCCAACAATATACTACACCTGATTCAGTAAGTAAAGGAAGCTTTCCTATGGAAATGAAGGAAAAAACTGCTCATTTCTCAAATATAAATGTTCATGTTCACGTAGATTAAGTTTATCTAATATGCCAAATATGTATCAGGGCTAACTTCTACTTGGCAGTCACTAGTTTTTTGTTTTTGTTTTACTATTTTGTTTCTATGAATGTAGGGCTAGAACAAGGTAGAATGATGTAGAAAGAAACACAAACACAACATTGTCCAGTGGGCAGGTTCTTACAGTCTCATACCTACCCACCCAAACTGTCATGGCACTGGTTGCTAGAAAGACAGTATGTGGGAGAGGCTGATGCTAACTGTAGGTCAAAACATCTGGAGGGCCACAAGTTGCCCAGCTCTGCTACACAGGAATATATTAAAGAAAGTCCCTCTACAGGTAAAAACAGAACATATTCAAAATGTATGCATCATGACAAACAAGAAAAAAACTGGAGACTTTCTTCCCAAGAATGGAAGAATAAATAATATTCTACTTAGTTGTAACTTAAATATTTTTGTGGCCAATTTTGCACTTTTATTTAAGAAATATACTAAGCATTCTTGAACTTGATTTAGACCACTGCTTTAATTCAAGGCTTTTTCTTGCTGGTTTAATTATATCCACTATACTACAAAAGCACAGCTTTGACACCAAGAAGTCCAAAGAAAGATAGCAAGAAATAATATTGTACATAAATGAATTTAGTATCTTTTTAAAACCCAATACTGTATCAAAGAATGTAAAAGAAAATACAGAGGCCAGAAAACTGGCAACACATGCAAGCTTTACATACAAAGTTTCCTTCTTTTTTAAGTTGGCAAACCTTTTCACTTTTTAGTTTAAAATGTGAAGAAAACCCAAATATATGGAGGTCTGCTCTATGAAGAAATAATGAAAAACCCATCAAAATTAATTTGACAAAACAACTAAAAATGCCAGAGGAAATTCAATGTTGCATTATGAGGCTTCCCCCAACCTTTCAGAGCAGATTTTGGGGGCACATTGGGCAACTACAGGGGAGAGGGAAATTGCCCCTTCCTGCTTCTGTTGATGGAAATAGTTCCATGAGGAAATGTATTTAATTGGATTTAACCCAACTGCAACAAAAAGGGGTGAGTTTCCAACAGATGGCAGAAAAGTCTTTAGAATCTGAGCTATCTGAAGGGAGAGAGAGTAAAATCCTTAATGTGAACAAAAGCTCTAGAAACTGTCCATTGTACTGGCCTACCGTCATATGTTTATAAGATGACCCTGGGAATTCATCTATCTACGGAACTCAAACAAATAAAAAACAAATAGTCCTTTTGTTTGCAAGGTAAAGCAATACTTTAACTAGCCACTTACTGCCAATAGGAGCAAGCCTGTTCTGCGACTCCTTCTCCAGTTCTGCATTTTTAGTCTGTGCCCAGCTTTTCCACACTTCTAGTCCCTCTTCTGGCTTGAGAGAATGTGGAAGGAGGAGTTCAGGTGAAGGCTGAGGCTGCGGTTGCTGTTCAACTTCAGCAACCTGAACAGTTTGGGCCTGTAGAAGAAAGTCATTTCTGAACTAATAAGTCATCAAAAACAACTTTTGTACAGTTTAACATTATTACATTATTTTCCCTCAGTATGTAGCACTAGTTTATCACCCCACTGAGTTAATTAGCAGAACCATGCTATGCTTATTTCAGTGATCTATATAGCATTACCTTTGGGCTGAATGTTGAAATTGTCTGTAAATTAAATGGGGGATCAAACACAAAATGACAATCTTCACAGGAGACAGGCATAGTGTTCAGACTCAGTGTCATAACTGTTTCCTCACTATTCATGAACAGTACTTCTAATGTTCAGAAATCCTAAATCCTAAATATTTGATTCCAGTTACTAAAAATATTCAGTTCCCTGCACACAATCTGCAATTTCATGAATATCACATATCCATAAAGGGGCGGGGGGTTGAGCCTAGGTGGGTTTGGCACACCCTCAAAAGAGAAAATATCTTTTGACATGCAGTCCCCTTGAACCATACTTTACCCCTTTCCACAAATTAAAATATGTTATTAGAAAAATTCTACTGGGAAATTTCTACTTACTTTGTAGCCAACTACACAGACATAGAAAATTGCTCCATTATGGAAAGATGAACAAAGAATACTCATGGAGGATACTGCTTCACACTTTTCACAAAATGAAATCTACTCCACAATGCATTTGTTAATCTGCTGCATATGAAGACTCAGTCCAAAGTAACAGGCTGTTCTCACCAACCGTAGTTTGTTGGCAATCAAATGGGCAATCAGCTCATGCCCCTTGCTCCTCCACTTAAGTTCTTAGTTGCAAAGGTGACTTCCTGGAGTTATCCATGATGTTGCCCTTATTCTGGGTTTACAATCCTAATTTGTAAGGAGCCTTCAAATCAGTTTCCCTGTGCCCAAATCACAGTAAACCAGGGTAAATTTTGACAAGGGTCTTAGGTACCACAATATTCAAAAAGGTGGGTCCAGCTTATCTAAATTATTACCTCAGGGTCTCAGTATTTAACATTCTTGTCTTGAATTAAAGGGTAATATAACTATCGTGTTTCCCCAAAAGTAAGACTAGGTCTTATATTAATTTTTGCTCCAAAAGATGCATTAGGGCTTATTTTCAAGTGATGTCTTATTTTTTCATGCACAACTATCTACATTTATTCATTTACAAAAATCTACATTTATTCAAATACAGTCATGTCATCTTCTTCTGGAACATTGTCTTAATTCTCCAAACCCTGAACTGTGTTACAACGGACATACTAAATACATGCGTCTGGCTGACAATCTTAACTGGGGCTTATTTTTGGGGTAGGGCTTATATTACGAGCATCCTGAAAAATCATGCTAGGGCTTATTTTCTGGTTACGTCTTATTTTCGGGGAAACAGGGTATTTAGAAAATTAAAATTTAGATTATGCATTTTAAATATATTTTACAGCTATACAGACACACAAACACTAAATAACCTCCAGAATTGCAAAAACCTGATCTTGTTGGCACAGCCTATTTTATCACTGCATACCTGTGGCTTCTGACTGAAATTATTTTTAAATTCATTCTTTATATTACAAGAGTGAAAGCATATTTGAAAAAATATAATTTCTGAATAATTCTTGTATCCAGAGGCTGGAAGGGGAATATAATAATCCATGAGCCAGAAACTCTAATTTCCAGCAGCCTCTCTGTCAATTTTCTCTTTCCAAACCGTCTTAGGTAAGGCTAGATAAGCAAAAAGTTCACTGGATGGAATTTGGATCAGAAGTCCATTGCCCCTTTAGACTTTCCAGTTAAGAGCTTTAAAGGGCATGGCTTGAAGAAAGTCTGGTGCCTGGTGTGTTTTTTGTAAATCCACCATGACATGGACTTGAACCATCAGAAGGGCTGCCACTCTACTACACTGATAATTTAAGAGCTAATTAAAGATCACATCAAATACTTTCAAAAACATTAACATCCATTCCCTAATTTGCCCCGATTTATTATGATAATCCTTATAAATTACTTGTTTAACTCATTCAACTACATTATTTTTACACCAACATTGCAGCTGAATACTAGGGAGTTTTTTGTCTGGGAATGGGTAAAATTAGTGGAAGATGTCTCCACTACTTTAAAATGTTCAGAAAGTGAAATAAAATATTTGAGCAGATCTGCTAAACCCACACACATCCCGCCTCTGGCTTTCCATTCTTAATTCCTTGACCAAATGCATGGGTATGAAAATTGACTTGTTTCGTAACTCACTTTTTAATTTATTTTTTCTGTAAATGTCTGTGTGCTCAATCAACAATTCACACACCCATCCTTTCAATTACTATTGGTCAAATTAGTGTACCCATCTTTAAAATGAGTAAAAATGTCAAGCTTGTTTAGGTATGCTTAATCCTGTGATAAGCATGCTACATATATTAATTTTATAGATTTTCTGATTTGATGTGCAATCTGTGTATGCACATGTTACTGTTTCCACACATATTTGAGACTTCTTAAGACACTAGTCTGGATCAGTGGAGACTGGCATTGATTATCTCATATGACCTGTGTGTGGCTACAGTCCTGAATTAGAAAGTGATTTAGCAGGAAACTTGTTTAAGAAACCAAGAAATCTCCTTCAAATTGGGCACAGAAGAAGGGAAGAAGTGTGGGCTCAAGTTCATTGCCTTTTCATGCACAATTTATTGTATTTACATTCCACCTTTTTTCCTGCAAGGAACTTACAGTGGTTTATATAATCCCCCACCTCTAATCTTCACAACAACCTTATGAGGTAGGCTAGGCTGAGAGTCAATGACTGGTCCCAAGTCACCCAGGGGGCTTCATGGGTGATTAGGGACTAGGAACCTCATCTCCCAAGCGCCAGTCCAACACACCAACCACTTCACCATTCTAGCTCTCAGGTCAATGACTGTAACACTTTAAATAGCAACACAGTTTTCTTTATTTTGGAGCAAAAAGACTGCCCTCTATTGAGAAGCTGAATGCTTATTAATTGTGAAAAATTCTATTGTTTCCACAATGATTCTTAAGGTCGCTGTCCTCAATTTGCCATGTTGAAGGAGAACTTTCCATTAAACAGGTGTCCATCCAAATGTAGTTTGCTATAAAGGTGTCCTGCCAATGAATGATTTGGTTTCTTATAAATGAGCCAGGCAGTGGTTCAAATGTATAGCTGCAGTTCTTATACAGTACCAGGAACAAGGACAACAGTAGGAAAACCAAGACTCTGGATATACACAGATGACTATCCCTACAGTATCTGGTAAGAAAAAGCAAAAATGACAGCAAAATGCAAGAATGCTACACTTATCTAAAGTCTCATCTAAATCAAAACAGCAGCTTAAAATGTACTAGCTTTACTATATGGCATTTTATCCCTTTGCAATTGAAGAATTCACAGCCTAGTTATGAGAGGATGAACACATTTCAGAAAGCATAAACACTAAGAAGCCTCTGAGGAAGAGTAATTGCTGACAGCATCCCATGTCCAATTTCCTAAAATTCTCCTGTTCCTTTACTTTTTCCTCCCTGTGTTTTCATATCCTAGTTTAAAAATCTCATTTTAAATGGATGCTTTTTCAGTTGAAACACTATGGGATGTATCAATCAACATTTTTGTTATTATAGCAAAACAGTCTATTATTTTAACAGTGTGTAATAAAGATGGTAAACACTTGTAAAACTTAATCAAAAAGAGTTCTTAGAAGAGGCTCACACAACACACATCAGGTTCATCACCAACGCCCAGTTTTTCAGAATATCGTATTTCTAGGATGAATGGGTTTCCAAGTTTATTGGAAAACCCATTTTATTTTATTAAGAGACTTTCATACCTGCCTGGATAGCAATATGCAAATTACTGTGCAAGCATTTTGTAAAATGCTGAGGCCAAAGAACACAACTAAGAAATCAGGAACAGTGCATTGTAATTGTTTTCCTCAACAGTCATTTCAAATTACAGCAATTATAGCAAGTAATCAATATATATAGAACCTGAAATTGGAATTGTTAACTTTTGTTGTTTGTATCTGTCACTTCAGGCTGTCATCAGAAAAGCTTTTAAACAAGAACATGTTCTAATAGCTTCCTTGAAATGCAAGTACAGTCACTATTAAGGGGAAAAAACAATATTATTGGGAAGCAATTTAAGTTCTGTCTGCCCTCTTCCAAGATGTAGCACTCTGGGTTTACCAATCAGAACAGTGGTGTCTGAAGTGCATAATAAGTGGTTTCCTTCCGATCTCTTTTCCATTAGGTTTTAGAAGTTTTTACCATGTTGTGTACACATATATTAATCTAAAGAAACCCTAATATATCAAAAGTATCAGATCAGAGGTGTGTGTGTGTGTGTGTGTGTGTGCGCGCGCCGTCCTATTCGCAAAAAGTCTCAGGACAGCTTACAGCATAAAATAAAATATAACATAAATAAATTCCTGACCCACACTGGCTGCAGTTAAAAATATAGAAAAGACAATATTAAAACTTATTAAAATATCACTGGAATAAACGGTCTTAACCTGGCATCGAAAAACAAATGATGGCACCAGGTGGACCTCTCTGGGGAGCGCATTCCATAGGTGGGGTGCCACCACAGAGAAAGCCCTCCTCCGGGTACTTTACCTCCTAATGTCTTTTATGGAGGGTTCCCGGAGGAGGGCCTCTGCTGCCGATCTCAAGGGGCAGGAGGGCAAATATGGAAGAAGGCGTTCCTTCAGGTATCCAGGTCCCAAGCTGTTAAGGGCTTTATAGGTAATAACCAGCACCTTGAATTGAGCCCAGACTTCGATGGGAAGCCAGTAAAGCTGGTAAAGGACTGGGGTTATGTGAGAATAACGCCCAGTCCCTGTCAGCAAGCTGGCTGCTCTGTTTTGCACCATCTGAAGTATCTGGACTGTCTTCAGGGGCAGCCCCACGTAGAGCGCGTTACAGAAATCCAACCGGGAAGTAACCAATGCATGTGTCACTGTCACTAGGCAGTCTTCCTCCAGGTAGGGGCGCATCTGATAGATTA